AAATCACCCCAAAAAACTGCCCAAAAACTGCCCAAAAACACCCCAAAATTATCCCCAAATCACCCCAAAAAACTGCCCAAAATCAGCCCAAAATCACCCCAAAAAGCTGCCCAAAACACCCCAAAATCACCCCAAAAATATCCCCAAATCACCCCAAAAAACTGCCCAAAAACTGCCCAAAAATATCCCCAAATCACCCCAAAAAACTACCCCAAATCACCCCAAAAAACTGCCCAAAACACCCCAAAATTATCCCCAAATCCGCCCAAAAATATCCCAAAAATATCCCAAAATTATCCCAAAAATAGCCCCAAAATTAGCCCAAAATTGTCCCAAAATCATCCCAAAATCACCCCAAAATTATCCCAAAATCACCCCAAAATTACCCCAAAATTATCCCCAAATCACCCCAAAAAACTGCCCCAAAACTGCCCAAAATCAGCCCAAAAACTGCCCAAAAATATCCCCAAATCACCCCAAAAAACTGCCCAAAAACTGCCCAAAATCAGCCCAAAATTATCCCAAAATTATCCCCAAATCCGTCCAAAAATATCCCAAAAATATCCCAAAAATATCCCAAAATTATCCCAAAATTATCCCCAAATCCGCCCAAAAATATCCCAAAAAAATCCCAAAATTATCCCAAAATTATCCCAAAATCATCCCAAAAAATCCCCAAAATTCCCCATAAAATTCCCAATTTTCTCCCCCGATTTTCACCCCAATATTTTCCCAAAATTCCCAAATTTCCCCCCAAAATTCCCCCAAAAAATTCTTCAGAAATCCCAATAAAATCACCGAAAAATTTCCAAAAATTCCCCAAAAAATCTCTTAAAAATCCTCCAAAAAATCCCCAAAATATCCTCAAAATTCCCAAAAAATCCCCAAAAAATCCCCAAAAATCCTTAAAAAAATCCCTCAAAAATCCTCCAAAATTCCCGAAAATTAAAAATAAAAAATCCCAAAAAATACCCAAATTTTCCCCCATAAATTCCCAAATTTCCCCCAAAAATTCCCCAAAAATTCTTCAAAAATCCCCCAAAAAATCCCAAAAAATAAAAAAATATCCCAAAAAAACCCTGCAAAATGCCCAAAAAATCCCCAAAAAATCCCCAAAAATTCCCAAAAATTCCCCAAAAAATCTCTTAAAAATCCTCCCAAAATTTCCCCAAAATTCCCAAAAAAATCCCAAAAAAATCCCAAAAATCCCCAAAAAATCCCCAAAAAATCCCCAAAACTTCCCCATAAAACCCCCTAAAAATACCCAAATTTTCCCCCCGAAATTCCCCCAAAAATTCTTCAAAAATCCCCAAAAAATCCCAAAAAAACCCTCCAAAATCCCCAAAATTTCCCCAAAATCCCCAAAAAATCCCCCAAAATTCCCCAAAAAATCCCCAAAAAAATCCCCAAAAATTCCC